AGACCAAACTCCTAAGGCGAGCCAGCCAAGAAGCTCCAAACTCGGGATGGGGAGGGTCGTCCTGCTGTGTGTCCTGGGCTGGGTCCTCCGTAGGAAGCTGCAGTGGCTGTGGGAATGAGTTGAGCATCAGTAGAGCATTCTGGCCTGACTAGGGACCCCCAATAAGAGCTGAGGAAGCTCTCTAGTCACAGGAGAAGCAAAGGGACACCCACAGGAGTAGCAGAGTCGACTTTTTCTGACCCCAGAGTCTTCTGTCTCTTCCAGCTGAAAGAGGGGAAAGGGAACCTGGAGAACTGAATGCCACAGGGTATTCCCACCTGCATAGAGGGTGTGGGGGGATTGCGGTGGGATGTAAAGGGGGCTGGGAGTGCTAAATTGTGAGGTGAGAAGGACAGAGGTGGTAGTGAGGAAAGGCTCTATGGAATGACGTAATACAGCTATGTGCTCTCAGGGCTCCATAGGGAAAAAGGTAGAGGATACCTGCTGGTTTTCCATCAGAGATAAACTAGTATGTAAATAAAAGCCCACATATACTTTTAGGAACTACAAGTTCATTCTCTCTTCTTGCTTAAGTACCAACTAGACCCTCAGTGCATTCTGTTCTATTATATTTTTCCTGAGGACAAGGGACCACACATGAGCTATGTGCCCTTGAACATACCCTCTGAGCCTGAACTGTCTTACCTGTCAAAGAGGAAAATAATGCTTAACCTACCTATCTCATTTGGTTGTTGTAAGATTATAATAATGATAATAATAGCCAATCTTTGTATAGTGCTTACATATTGTTACATAGACTATGTACCTAGTGTTACACAGTGCTACACATTCCATAAACATATACAGGGTCCGGCACAAATAATGCCCCTTTTTTATTACAAAATCATAAGCATGTAATTCTGTAGCATGACCAATATCACACTCAAGCACACCACATGATATTTTAGGTGAATGTTCAAATTGCTGTCCATCTCGTGCGAGACATTCACATACCCTACCAACCACACTCAAGCAAGCCTTACTTCTGCCAGACCCTGTATTAACTCAATCCTCAAAACACCTTTATGAAATTAGTAGTCATCATCCCCCTACTTGACAGAGAATGTAACTGAGGCACATTGCAGTTTCAGAACTTGCTCAAGTCACCCAGCAAGGCCAAGGTCAGATTTGATCCCAGAAAAATCTGGCGCCAGAGCCCACGCTCCTAACCTCTTTGTTATATGACATGATATCTGAAAGCACCGAATGTGCTTTAAATGAATGGTGCATTCTCATACTTGTTAGAACTACTCCCACTAGGGAGGAAAGCAGAGTGAGAGTTCACTGGACGAGGATGACACTACCAGCCTTGGAACTGCGACCCCTCACCAGGCTTCCCAGAGGAGAGGAAAGGGACGGCAGGTCCTCCGGCCCCTCCCAATGTAGGACTGTCTTCCTATGTTCTTTCTCAAAGCAAAGTGTCTCTGCTGCCAAGAGCGGGTTTGTCTGTCTCCTGGAGACAGCGGTTGTCAAGCCTGAGAGAACAGCAAGCATGTCAAAAATAGCAGCGCCAGCAGACTGTGTGGCTGCAATTTCCTTTAGAAATGTCGGCTTAGCTCTCGCCAAAAGAGCCAGGGTCTGCCTATGCTCTCTGCAGCCTGCAGCTGAGGCTGCTTAAGGTTCCAAGATGCTTGCTAGGGATGGGCAAAGAGTGTCTGCTGAAAAATCCTCTCCATAGCAACAATGATGAGATTGGAGCTGTGTTTAAAAAAATTTCCTTGCCATAAATCGCACCACGGCTAGGCCCCAAATAGGTTAAGTGATAGCCAAGGTGAGACCAGTAGTAACGATACTAACTACGGTGTAGGCCCCCGTTTTCTCCTTGGTTCCGGAACTAAGGGAGTCACTGTTCTGTTTGGATCACCTTTCAAAAGCAGTCACTGCTAGGTTTAACCCACTCCCCTTTAGGGTGCCAAGGGGATGAGGCTCAGGAAGGGAGGAAGAGGCTGGGTAAACCACTTTCTCTGGGAGTTCGGAGCAAATGGACATGAAAGACACGACAATCTCCAACCCCTCAGAGGCCTTGTGTCCAGAACAGGAAAGTGGTTCATCGACAGGCACAGTAACATAAAGACCAGGAGCCCATCTGTTGTTATTCCCAGTGGCCTGACCCTGGGAAGCTCCGTCTCCTGGTTAGCCCCGAGCTCCAGGTCCAATTCTGCCATGAGGCATCTGCAACCTGAGGCAGCTGGGTATGAAGTGGGATGGAGAGAGGAAATCCTACAGTTTAAAGAATGGATTTCTTTCCCCCCACCCTAAGGAACCTTGACGCGCTAGAACTAGACCACACTTTGCTTCCTGGGGCAATGACACAGTCAAAACCAATCCCAGCTTGGACAAGAGTGCCAGCCGAATTGTGCCAGGGGACAATATTCTCTGGGAATCTAGTTGGCATTTAAATACAGACGCTGGGCAACAGAAATACTGCCAATGAGAGGGTTCAGCCAGTGGAGTGAGGAAAGATAAGCGGCAGGACTGGAAGGTGTCATATGAGGAAAAGCACCAAGGGGAGGAAAGGAAGGGGTCAGAGAATGAAAGGCAAGTCAGAGTAAGAGGCAGCTCTTCTGTTTGCCCAAAGCACCTGGCTGCTGGGGCGGCCCCAGTGGGCAGTGAGGGGAGAGCCAGTGCTGCAGGCAAAGGCAGGAGGCCAGGCGGCTAAAGCCCTGACTCCCATGCAATTTCTTAAAAGTCTATGTTTACAGGTGCAGAGATTAGGTGGGGTATTTTTGTTTGTTTGTGAGCTTTTGTTATTTTTGTTTTGCCAGAAAAGCGTAAGTCCCTTGGGAAAGTTCACTGCCTTAGTCCCATATAATGAATAATATCTGCCATACTTATTATAGCTTAATAATGCTAATTATGCTCTCCATTTACCAAAAATAGTTTAGAGCAAAAATAGACAAATATGCAAATCCCACCAAAGTTTGATTATTAAAAAAAAAAAAATCAGTTTTGGCCCTGCACATGAGTAGCAAGGAGCAAATGTATGAAAGGCTCTAAAGTGTCCCCATGTAGCAGAAGAAAAACGCTGTTATCCCATCCTGGATACTCATTTGGCCCATCTTAAAGATGCTAAGCTTCTAGATTTTTAAATCCAAACCATTCCCCTAGCCAAGATGTGACTCTTGCAGATTACTGTCACGTTTTTTCACAGTTAATGAAGTTTTCGGTTCATTCAGAGTTGTGCCACCCTCAACACAATCCTGCTTTAGAAAACTTCCATTACCCTCCCCCGAAACTCCCATCCCGTGTCCTGATGCAGGCTGGGCTTGTCCTATGCTCTGTGCCCACCGACAAGGAGAATACACTAGCTCTCCTACAGACTGGATCTTAATCCACCTTGTCAAGGAGTGCCCCTGCACCTTGAACCTCTGGGATTTATGTCCTAGCTTTTGTTCCACCTTCAGTGCACAAGACAGACAGCTGGGTGCTCTAAGAACCTCCCAGTGTACTAAGGGCAGTTAGAAGGTCATCCCTGAGTTAAGGCTTTTTCTAGGCTAATTCCAATCTTATACTTTCCTAAGTCATCTCTTCTCTGTACATTTTATTACCTCTACTATTCCTATGTCTTGAACATCCCTATAAGCTTTTTAAGGTTGAGAGACCCTAAGATGAATGTATTTCAGTGTTATACATAGCAGAGTATTTATCTGAGACTTATCAGGTGTTCTTCCTGTCTTTCTCCCTCACCCCCATCCTTGCAGGTTCAGAAAATTTCTGGGAGATACTTTTCTAAACACACAGCAATCTCATCTTGCTTCCTAAATTCAGGACTTCCCTCCACAGAGAGGTGAGCATGATAGGAACAGATGGTCTACTGAGATGTCAGGGGAGAGGGGAATCCTGGAGAACAACTGTCTTGGCAAACACAGCTAGTCCTAGAGTCCCAAATGCGACCTCTGCGGAAACGTATAGGTGCTCCCAGCCACTAAAATGGTGAAGGCGGGGAGAGAGAAAGAAAGACACACGTGGAAGGAAGAAGAGATTAAAACAACCGAAGGGAAATGTGAGAAGGAAAAAAATGCATTGCAACTGAGAATGAAAAGAAGGGGAAATGCAGAGAAAAGGAGATGATTAGAGAGGGTGGGGCAAATCGGCAGTAGGCGAAGGGAAACAGAGAAGAAGGAAACTGAAGTAGATGGAGTCAAAGAACATGCACAGACAGAGAGTAAGGCAATGCTGAAGTAAGGGAACCCCAAACCCAGATTTTCCCCCAGTGCATACCCTCCTCCCTTCTCCCCAGCACCCCCCGCAACTCGGAGTTCTAACCTGCCCCAAAGGACTGAGCCCATACAAAATTCCCCAACAGTAGGACCTACCTCAGGTGCACTGAGGGCCAGCTGTCCCTTTCTCTCATCTGGGGGATGACCAGGCAGGAGGACTGTCTGTCGCACGTCTCTGTTGAGCCTAACAGATCCAGGAAGACCTCTGGGAGCTCCTGCTGGCTGCAGTGGGGTGTAAGGAAGGGCCGAACCCGGCCTTTGCTGGCGGCTGTGAAATCGCCACTCCAGCTGTTACAGCAACACAGGGTGAATATTCTCTTGGTGCTCAGGGTACAAAATCCATATAAAGAGGCTCAGAGTCAGACAGGGATCACTTGGCAAAATCCTCCACAGAAATTAGGTCAGGTCACAGTCTCTCAGTTTTTCTTCGGCATCTTAAGAAGAACCACCTATGAAATTCCCCCCAAGCACTAGACTGTTCCCTGGAGGTGTGGGGGGGGGCAGGGGGGTGGGGGGGGAGGGGTGGATATCATTTCTCTCCATCTTTCTTAGAGCTGGGAGGAGCCTCCCTCTGAGGAAATGCAAACTCCATGACACTATTATAGACTAAAACCTTATGACTCTCGGCAGGATCAAGTCCTCTCCAAAGCTCCCCTTGTCACTTTGAAAAAGGTAATATTGACATTGGTTTATATTGACATTGGTTTATAAAACTGGCAGTTGCTTTGCATTCAAGTTTCTGAAGAATCAAAAGTGAGATGAGGCAGCTTCGATGACTGGGTGGAGAAACCAGGAAGAAAGGTCCAAGTGCAAGTTTTAGGGACCTGCTTTTTCAAGGTCACACATTCCTGTCCTGGTACTACCAGTCCCTAACCCAATATGGGGAGGTGTCCCATTTCAGAAGCTGGAGATATGTAGTCTCCTTTTCTCCCTTGCTGCCCAAATCAGAAGATAGAGAGAACAGACTGGAAGGTTGCTATGGCAACCAGAGTCCCTGGAGAGCCCAGCGCTCTACAAACCCTTTACTTTCAGGCATGCTCTGACTTTAAAAGGAAATGTTTTATTAGTGATGGTGATGAAGATGATCACATACACACATAGAGATACATGCCTACAGGTTCCAACATTTACCCTCGGCTGGGCCCTTCTCCTTTCCCCAAATACCCAGGAGTAACTGAAGAGATTTGAGAAAGCAGCACTTTATGGCCCCAGAGCAGGCTTCTGAATCATAAACTCTTCTATTTCCTACTGTGTTTTAGGTTTGGAGAAGCTAAGCTCCCAATCAAAGTGGCCTCTGGTCCTGGAAGGATCCTACTGAACCTACCTAAAGAGCATCCTCCTTTCTGAAGGGTAAGAAGAAAGACAGGCCAGTGCAAGAGACTAAGAAGGGATTTAAGGAGCTAATGGGCCAGAATGGCCTCTTCTTGGGCTTTGGATCCAAAGCAGTAACCCTGGGGGGAGACTTTGCCTATGGGAGATGGGAGACAGGATAACAAACTAAAAATCAAGTCCATTGCTAAAATTCACACATTTGCATAGCATCATCCCCAGCTTCCCAGATGAGTTCATTGAACATTCCCCATGAGGTAGGGAGGGGAAGACATTAATGTTCCCATGTAATGGGTGGGGAAACTGAGGCACAAAGAGGGTGGTGCCAAAATTACCCTGTAAAGCTGTGGCAAAATCCAAATTGAGGTCTGGCACTCCCAGGAGCCATAGTGTCTCTCAAGAAAACCCTCAAAAGGCTGTCCCTCATAAGTTGCTCTTCGAGGAAATTAAAAAAAAAATTCCAAGAGTCTTAAAGCATAGATATAAAATTAAAAACATGTTAACAGTCCTTTTGGTTTCTGAACTGTACCCAGACAAGCTCAGAACAGTACATCACAGTTTATCAAGGCGACAAACAAATGACAATGTTACCCAGAGAGAAATGAGGGGAGGTGGGAAATGTGAAGGAAGGCAGAAGTTTCACGATGGAGGAGATGGCTTAGTCCAGGTGGTGACTTGCCACCTTACCTTATCGGTTAGAACTAGTCAGTTGCAGCTCCAAGGGGCAGGGCAGGCTAATGTTTGCTTGACTCAGCAAAAATCCTCGAGCAGTGTGGTTGTTGGCAAAGAAATAATGCTCCTTCCATACTCTAAACCACCTATTCCATTCCCAACAAGATGGCAAGCACCCCACACTAGCATCCAATGTGTGCTTTCACCTGTCTGCAGGTTTGAGCTGGAGTTTGTTTTAGGAAGCCTTCAACTATCCTCAATCGAATTCCCAAGAAGAAGGGTGGAGAGCTAGAGAGGTTGGGGGAAAGTGAGGGAGAGAAATCTGCCATTTGCAAGAAGATTCCTCTGCCTCTCTGAGATGACAGTATCTGTTTAAGTGACACCTCTCTTCAGATATGTGGACATGCTACTTGCCTGACTCTATTCGGCCATTTCTCCTGGCTCTGTGGTTCCCTTTTGCTAGTTCCTCTGTTCAGGAAGGCACTTGCACATAGAGTATTTGGCTCTGAGAAAGAACCTTCCTGAAAGCTAAAGAGAGTCAGGGGATCGGGGTGGGGAACTAAATGTTGACCAAAGACTGATGTTTACTGTGCCAGAACACACCTGGAAGAATCCATTGGCCCCTTTGGTCTGGGACTCACATTAACTGCCCTCCAAACGGCCAACTTTAATTGTAGTTTCTCTAATTCCATCCAAGATTAGAGATGAATAACATGTATCTCCCAAGGGCCCTCTGCAGGATGACCAGCAGGTGCTACAGGGCCCGGGAATAAAACAGCAAGATGAGTGCTGTCTCTGTCTTCCAGCTTCTGCCAGTTGCCACCTGGCCAGAAGCTAAGACAAGTGCATGTCCCAAAGGAAAGGGCACTAAGGAGAGAAACAGGACCCAGGTATAACCTGGTTTCCATCCAACTGACATCACCATACCTATAGCTACTAGAAGTCTCAAACATGAAAAATCAGAGCCTTGAAGGAAAATCTGACAGAAATCTCATCCACATAACAGAAGATGGGCATGGATGGGTGGCACCATTAGCATTTCAAAAATATCACTTAAATGGATAAAACTTGAATGCTGCAGGGACCAAGCAACAAGGTTGACAGTCCAGGTATTCAGTCCTGGATGCCATGCACTGGGGTTGGGAAAAAAGTCAGGAAGTCACCTGGAGCTCAGACGAGAGCTGTGGAGAATGAGAGGGAAGCCTAAGAAATTATTTGCTCAGGGTCATCCTTCTCATGCAGGCCCTTCCTGCATCAGTCAAACCTCAGTGAGCATCCTTTTCTCTGCATACATCCGATGTGGAGTGGGAAGGTAGCTGGGTCTCCGTTCCCGGGGGGCCTCAGAGAATTCAGGCTTGCCCAGTCCATTGTCAGCCGCCTTCAGGTCCGGTGCAGGCTGCCCACAAGTGACATGGGTGTACTGGCCTTGCTCCTCCTGCTCCGTCTCCCGGTGGTAGAAGTAGTTGAAGTTGGAGACAATGACGGGCACTGGTAGGGCGATGGTGAGGACCCCAGCGATGGCACATAGTGAGCCCACAATCTTGCCGCCAACTGTCATGGGGTACATGTCCCCATAACCCACTGTGGTCATTGTAACCACTGCCCACCAGAAGGCATCCGGGATGCTGGGAAAGAGCGAATCATCATCGTCAGCCTCTGCAAAGTAGACAGCACTGGAGAAGAGGATGACTCCAATGAAGAGGAAGAAGATGAGCAGGCCCAGCTCCCTCATGGAAGCCTGCAATGTCTTGCCCAGGATCTGCAGCCCCTTAGAGTGGCGGGAGAGCTTGAAGATGCGGAACACCCGGACCAGGCGGATCACCCGGAGGATGGCCAGGGACATGGCCTGCTGCCCGTTCTGGCCACCCCCTCCACTGGCCGACTGCTGCTCCTGCTGCTGCACCAGTTCAGTGCCCAGGGTGATAAAGTAGGGGAAGATAGCCACCAAGTCGATGATGTTCATGATGTTGCGGAAGAAGGCTGGCTTGCTGGGGCAGGCAGAGAAACGCACCAGGAGCTCAAAAGTGAACCAAACAATGCATAGAGTCTCCACCAGAAAGAAGGGGTCAGTAAAGAAGGAGCCCCCAAAAGTACTTAGTGAGGATGAGCCCCCCGCCCCTACTCCCCCAGGAGCGATGCCAGGATGAAACGTATAGGCATCATCTTCATCCTCCTCTTCTTCCTGACTCCCCCTGGAAACTGGGGAAACTCTGCTCACATCACCACCGTTGCTTCCACCTCGACCATCTGCACGGAACTGGGGCAAAGTCTCCAGGCAAAAGATGACGATGGAGATGAGAATGACCAACACGGAGACGATGGCGATGCCCCTGGCGGGCCCAGAGCTCTCCGGGTACTCAAAGAGAAGCCACACCTGGCGCTGGAAGGGCTGGGAGGGCAGAGGCTTCTCGTCCTCTCCACCTTCAGGCAGGCAGCCCTCGTCCTCCCGGAAGGCCGCCAGGGCCTCATCCCCCAGTTGGTAGAAGCGGATCTCCTCCAGGAAGATGTCCAGGGGCACGTTGACCGGCCTCCGCAGCCGGCCCCCCGACTGGTAGTAGTAGAGGATGGCGTCGAAGCTGGGCCGGTTGCGATCGAAGAAGTACTCGTTCCTCAGGGGGTCGAAGAAGCGGACGCGGCGGCCTGGGTCTCCCAGCAGAGTGTCGGGAAAGAGCGACAGGGTGCGCAATTGTGTCTCAAAGCGCAGCCCGGAGATGTTGATTACCAGCCGCTCGCTACTACAGCAGCCCCCGCCCGCGCCGTCCTCCGGGAAGTCTCCCGCATCCTGTTGCTCCCCCTCCGGCCCACGGATCTCCCCCGGCGCCGCCAGCGTGAGGGATTTCTCCGATCTCATGTCCTACCCGCCGTGCTCTGCCCACCACTGGAACAGCGCCCCCGACACAACCTCTGGAGCGCGGCAGCGCTTCCCAGCGCCTGGCTGCGCCCTCTCTCTCGGGTGGGGCTCGCGCTTCTCCGAGCTAGCAGTCTGACCTGCGATTGAGTCCGTGAGCCCTGAAGCCCTGGTCCCTGCAAGGCTAGGTCAGGGGAGGTGCCCTGGGCACAGAGAATTTGGCTCTGCGCCTCCCAGTTGTCCGCGCCTGTGTGCTAGGGCTTACTGGGATACCTGGAACAGCAAACGGGCGCGTGTGATACTGGATGCCCGAAAAGACGCTTAGCTTCGCCCCCTCTGTGCCTGAGTCTGGGCTCCAGGACGCAGGGGTCCGCCCTCCAGACGGGATAGCACTTCCCAGCTCCCAATGCGCTCCTCCAACAGCTCAAGCCCCCCGACTGCTGAGGGTACCGAAGCGCCAGATGCGCCTCCCTCTGGCTCCGCAAAGACTCCTGGCGGGGCTCGGCCTCCGCCCTACGTCCACCGCGGGATCCGTCTAGCCAAGGTCGCCGTTCCCGCGCCACAGCCGCTACCTCCTCTCTATGGGCCTAGCCGCAGGCCCAGAAAAGGGCCCTGGGGGTGCCCCGGCGCCGGGGGCGCGGGGACCCACCTCCCCACCGCTCAAGCCTTTGCCGCAACCACCGCAGCTGCAGCGGCTCGGCTCTCCGCTCTGCCCTTCCTTCCCAACACACACTCCCCAAGTGACGTGGCAGGCCCCGCCTGCTGCCCCTTCCCACCCCACTCCCACATCACACCCCTCGCCCAGCCAGGGGCTGCTGCGAGCCAGGGCGCTGTGGGAATAGACACACACTTGCCTCACCAGTAATCTTTCCCGCGCTCTCCCGGCACGCCTCTCCCTTCGCACGATCACATTCACAGCCCACCTAAACCAGCGCCAGGATCCTCATACCACACCCCCTCCACCCCCGCAATCAGCTTTTCTCAATGTCAATTTACAGCGTTGACCTGCGCAGTGCATTTCATCAATAAGAAAACACACCCCGCTCCACCACACGCTCAAGAGCACTGTGCCTCCACTCATCCAGAAATTTAATGAAAAAATCAAATCATATTTTGCCCTTCTGTGTTTACAAAGACCTATTTGCCAGCTTCTCCAATCTCTACTGAGAAAAAAGAAGTAGAGGAAGCATTTTTGAGATTTCTCGAGAGCTTCCAATTTAAATTGTACGCCAAAGTCAGTCCCCAAAGAACCCCATTCCCCCCTTTGCAAACCTGGGAGGGTGAGGCTGCAGGTTTCGAAGTGAAAGTAAAGACAGGGGGTAAGAAGTCTCCCCTTGCCTTTGCCCTCAGAAGTTTTCCAAGGAGTCCTGGGAACTTAGGCAGCAGGCCCGGTGAAAAAAGAACCAGAAAACGGCGGCATCTCAGAGGGAAAGGGCTGCCTGGAATTCATTTGCTCCCAGCCTCCCTGGGAAGGCATTTGGAATGTCTACTCATAGTGCAGACAGGCAAAAGGGTGGATGGAAAGGAAATGTAAGAGTGTTGATAAAAAAAAATAATAGCTATGTTTACTGAGCATCTAGTATGTGCCAGCTACAACCTAGGTGCTTTATCTGTGCTCTCTCCTTCAGTCCTCACAACCCTACGAGAAAGATGGCCTCTGCTCTAAGTAATGTTACAGGGAAGACCTACCTGGCCATATTTGTGTAGGGACCAAATGTGTTGTTAATTATTTCCCCAACTCTCCAGAAGAATGGTTTTCCATTCATTTCTGCCAAAGACCATACAGCCTTTTGTCACTAGATTAGACAGTTTGGTGTCTGGTGGGGAAAGGTTAGTCTTATCTTTTCAGAGGGCCACTTCCAGGTAAGCTTACCATTTGCTTCTCTGTGCCTCAGTTTTCTCTTTTGGGGTGTCTATAGCCACATCAATGGGCTGACAACCACAAGGTGTTTTTGTGTTGCTTCTTCTCCATATTAGATCATTAGTAAGGGTTCATTGATGATAACGATGGGAATGATAGGTAAAGGTACTCTCAAACCACAAGGTGCATGTAAGTATTCTTTGCATTGCACGGGTGTTTTAAAACCACAGTGGCTCGCTCCCAGAGGAGTCGGGGAGTAGGGAACAAAGGCTCCTAGATGTGTAGAGAAGAGGTCAGGTGGTGAGTGGGTAGGAGAGAGACTAGCATCTCACTGAGTCTTCATTCTCTAGTCTTGTCCCTCACCAGGCTTGCCTGGCAATAGCTTCTGCCTCCTTTCTATGCTTGTACTGTTGGTTTACATTCACTCCTGTCACCTTGCATGTTTCAGTGAAAGGCGAGAAAGAGCAAACATTCCAAGTCATCCAGTTGCTAGTTTTCCTATTTACAGGCTATGTAATTAAGCAATTTAGACTTCACCCAAGTAAGTTGTTCCATTCAAAAATAATTTTTAAAGGAAACCAACAACAAATACAACATAGAAGATACTGTTTAACCATTGTCCAACTATCTCTAATTATTTTCTGGGCTACAAATTGGTAACTTATGATTCTTTTTGTCTTTGTTTTTAAAATTTATAGTGAAATGTTCGCTTGCATGTTTGTTTTTATTGTTTTCATTTTTATTCACTAGTTTTTCAACTAGGCCAACAACTCCTTAAAATAATCCTTGGAGCCCTGGCTGGTGTGTCTCAGTAGATTGAGTGCCAGCCTGCCAACCAAATGGTCACCGGTTCAATTCCCAGTCAGGGCACATGCCTGGGTTGTGAGCCTTGGTTCAGGGCACGCAAGAGGCAACCACATAGTGATACTTCTCTCCATCTCTTTCTCCCTCTGTCCCCCTCTCTCTAAAAAATAAATAAGTAAATAACTAAATCTTAAAAAAAAAAAAAATCCTTGGAGGAACATAGGTCAGAATCTGCATTCTTCCAGAAGGGCACACAGTCTAATGCCATGGCAGAAGTCACCATCCTAGCACCTCTTGGGTTAAGCCTGCTGAGCTGTAGGCAGAGCTGATGTTCCATGTTTACCTTCACATGAGGCATAAGGCTGTGCCCAAGAGACACAAGGAGGTTCCCCTGGAGGGCAAAGCCATTAGCAAAATCATGAATCAGGATTCTGTTTTTAGTTCTTTGGTGAAAGACACTCATTTCTTAGCTTACAAAAGCCCTGTGTCTAAATCATTCCTTTCCAGCAAAGAATGAGACTAAAATTACACCTTCAGAAGAACCAGTTCCCAGGTGAAGGAACACAAGGAGCAAAAACCCAGCCCAGACAACAGCATTTCTCTGGAATTCACTGAGCACCAATTTCATGATAGCACAGATTTTTCTTGTTTTATCTGAATTCAGATATTTGCAGTGATGGTAGTGGTCTTTCATTCATTTAACAAGTATTCATTGAGAAGCTACTGGATGCCCATCACTGTGCCAGGTGCTGAAGACTTAGCAGTGATCTGGATAAAATATCTGTTCTAATGAGCTTACATTTTCATACAACGAATACATTCTAGATAGAAAATTTTTAACAGTAAACGATAAAGAAGATATTCACATAGTAAGTGCTCTGAGGAGAATAAATGACGTGTTATGTCACAAATAAACCTGGGAATCCAATTTTGAAGAAAGTGGTTGGGAAAGTTCCTCTGTAGAGATAATCTTTAAACTGAGAATTTAAAAAACAAGAATGAGCCAGCCATGCTAAAACCAGGGAAACAGCACTCTGGGCAGACAAGTGCAAAAAGTCCTGAGCTAGAAAGGTCATAGGTGTCCAAAGATGATAAAGCAGGCAATGTGCTGGGAGGAAAATAGGCAATGGGAGGGCCATCCAAAACAAGGCTGAAAAGGAAGCAAGGGGCACATTCCTGCAGAGGAAGGTGCTCAGGTTTTAACTTACAGGTGATGTATGTAAAACCAATGGTGGCTCTCAAGACATGGCATGATTTACATCAGGGCTGTCAGGAGAATAAATTACAGAGTGCCAAAGAAAAAACAGAAAGACCAGGAAATTGTAGTTGTCTGGGGAAAAGATGATGGTGACTTGAACTGGGGTAAAGTTAATGTGAATAGAGATAGAGTGGGGAGGAGGCAGGGATGAGGGTAAGGAAGGGCTTAGAAGGCAGAATCATCAGGAACTGGTGATGAATAGGGCACAAAGAATAAATAATGAATGCCATGTTTTTGGTGTGAGTAACTAGGTAGGCTGGTGGTGCCATTTATTGAGAAAAAGGAGAGGAGGGGTTAAACAAGTTGGGATCAATCAAGGCTTAGTTTTTAAACATATTACATTGGAGAGACAAATGAGACATGCAAATGAAGACATCAAAGAGGCTATTGCTTATTTAAGTCTGAAATAAATATGGTAGAGAAATTTATGATTTGGGAATTTAAAATATTTAAATATATTTAAGCCAAGGCACTACATACACAGAATATTGAGAACGAAAAGAAACATAACCAAGACCAAGTCCTTCACATATTCAACAATTTACAGTTCAAGTTCAGGAGGAAGAGGAGCCAGCAAAGAAGATCAAAGGGTTGTCATGAGGTAGGAGGAAAACCAAGAGAAGGGGCTGTTGGAAACCAACAACTGGGACTGGACCTCAGGGCTCCCACCCTTCTAGGCTCATGCTGACCTTCTAGCTGAACACAGACTACATTGGATCAGGAATACATGGTGGGAATAAGAAGGTGCCATTAGGGAGAATCACCTACAGGCAGAGGTATGTGCCAACCAAGATGAACACATATAATGTGGCACACAATTCGATAATTATTTATGCTCTTATCTGTGTCCTGGATCTTAAAATGTAGTTACTTGAGGTATAGAAATGATTATTTTATTCCATTTTCCAAGCTTCTCTTAATACATTTTTCACCTTGCTCTGTGTGTATATGTGTGTGTGCACGCACACTCACTTCTCATAACCCCAGCATAAGATCTTTTTAGTTTTCCTCTGGGGAAAGAGGCTAGTGGTTGGAAGCTTGGCCTTGCTTCTCTGAATACTTTCTGGGAATGGTTCTTTTCACTGCCCTCTCA